TGAAAACAGTCATGAGGATGGGAATCAGTCACTTTGGTTTTCACAACCATGAGTACGTGCCAGAACTTTGATTCGTTTGCGGCTGTGAACGTCGAAGGCTGATTTTATCTGTCAAAACACTGACTAATTACCCTATCACCGGCAGAGTAACAAGTACATAATGCCCGTGGCTCAGGTCGTCGCCATGGACGGAGAACACGACCTTCAAGAGCTTCTCGGCGGTTTGCCATTTGCGGCAGCGCAACCATGAAGCCAATTTCGCCAACCGGATCGGCAACCAATAGCAGTCGATATTGCAGACAGAGACAGACAGACACAGACAGAGACATACTGAGACATACAGAGACATACAGACAGACATAGACAGAGACAGAGACAGAGAGACAGACAGAGAGACAGACAGAGAGACAGACAAACAAGCAAGCATACAAACAAACAAGTAAAGTAATCACTTAGTGTCTACCTAGGTAGAGAACCAACTAACTAGCTAGCTAGCTGACTAACTGACTAACCAAGCAATTGACTAACAGCAAAGCAAAACAAAAGAAAACAAAGCGAACCGAACCACCACAAAACGGAACAAAGCAAAACAAAGCAAACGACAACCCCAGAATAAAAATATTTTACTCCGGACAAGTTTGCTTGGCTAAACAGGACTGCAACCACACAGGCATCAAAAAGCCAATCAGACGGTGTGCGGGGCCTCAAGCATGCTGCTTTCTGATGCGACGGCAAAGAAACTCAGTCAAACCAAAGTGCAACCAAGACAGCACTGACCCCTAAACAATAGCATCCTTTGGTGTTAGCGAAATCACGCTTCCTGGTTAGTGGGAATTCTCTTCATCCGCTTCGAGGGACTAGGCAGCTGAAAATCAGCTGAACATCTGGGTCAGGTGTTGCCAACGCCATACAAAGTCTATGCGCATCTTCCTCATCCTGGGTCTTGAGCTTCAGAGGCTGCAGGCTTCTTCCGCGCGTGCTCTCTAGAGGCGCGATTTGGTGCTCATGGCGCGTGGACCTTGTCCTTGTCATCAAACAAACAGCCAAGCGTTTTGTTTTGCACCTGCGAAATGCCGCAAAACAAACGCCCGGGAAGGCGGCGTAACTTATCATCAAAAATACTTGGAGCGCGTGCAAACCTGGTTTTGAAAAAGGTCATCAGCAGCAGCATTGCCTGGCTCATTGCTTGCTCTGGTTCGGCACCTCAGTCTGTCGCAGCTGTCTGTCACGCCACTGGAAGCCTCAGTGTCTGTCACACCTGTCCGTTGCACGGAGAGGACCTGTTGGGTGGGGAACAAACAAACAAACAAACAAACAAACAAACAAGCAAGCAAGCAATCAAACAAACAAACAAACAAACAAACAAACAAACAAACACACAAACAAACAAAGACACAAACCTGGCGGCGCCGGTTTCTTCGACCGCAACCCCCACGCAGAAAGGCAACTTGCGCATCGCGGACCCGCGGAACATCGCTGAGTTGACCAACGCTTCGGTGGCCTGGCTGTGATGGAGGTTGTTTCTTGTGGGTGTGTTTGTCGTTTTGGATTGCCTTTGGTTGAGTTTAAGGGGAAGCCAAAAGGCACGCTGAGGGCGTCGAAGCCAATTTGGAGGTCCCCTATTTTGACGTACTCACGTTTCTCCTATCACTTCTTTTTAAAGCGAAGACCAGAATGGAATAGGGGCGGCCCACTCCCTTCCCCTCAAAACTATAAAGTTCAATCAGGAAACCAACGACTTTTGGGTTCATCCCCTTGTTTGTGACATGCCTACTGATAGCTGCCGCGCTGGCGCGCGAGGTGCCCAAGGGAGCGGAGTTCTTCTTTGACACCGTCTGGGACCAGGCGGTGCTTCTGCACCTTCGACCAGGGTGGGGGGAGAAGTTTTGACCGTGGCACCTCGAGTTGCTTTGGTTTGTGCTGGTTTTCCCTTCAAATGCAAACCAATAAAGGGTGCCTTTGTTCCACGGCCATTGCTTGTTTGGGTCGGTTGAGGGTTTGAGGTGGGCTTGGGCCGGCTTGGGCTAAATGGTTTCAATTCTCCCTTTGATGTTTGAGGTAATGTGGTTTTGACAGCACCCCCGACACCCATCGATCAAGAAATGGAACCCGGTTAGCCATGAACGTCCGCATGTTTGTTGTGTTTGTGTTTCGGAGGGGCGGGGAGCAGCAAATGAGCAAATGGCAAAACTATGATAAACCATTCTAAGGAGTACTTTCTAGCCATATGTGCCAAAACGTGGAGCCCAAGGAACCTCCTTTTAGGAGGGCCTCCTGTTTGGACTTTGTGCTAATCTTCGAGAGGGGATGATTTTGAGTTGCTTTCTTTTTCCAGACCCTGGATCATCGATTTCCGCTTCCACATGAATTCCAACTGATTCACATCATGTGCTTAGCTCTAAGCTGCCTCATTTTCGGATTGCGGAATTATGTGTCTCTGTGTGCTGAGGGTACTTTTGAAGGGGGGTGGTTTAAAGGGAGATCAACGGGAAACCGGAAACCACCATTTTGGGCATTCGGGGGTTTCCCTTATTTTGACGCATGCTTGGTTCGGCCGGCATCCGAGGCGCCGCACCCGCAATGCGACCGCGCTGGATGCTCAGTTGCGGCCCGGCATGCACTGAGAAAAACAAGAGAGAGGGGAGCCCAGGCAAAGGAAGCGCTGGAATTCAAGTTTCGCAAAGTTTCCACGGGCCCCTAAAGATGGGGTTGCACCAAAAAATAGATATGGGTTAAACCCCATCTCATATTTGAAGGGTCACGGAGACTCCAGGTGTTGCCCTTTCTAGGGCCTGATTCGCCCCATCGCCGTGTTTACTTTTGAGGTTTAATCTTTGTTGGTGGTGTGATGCTGGCGGGGGGCCCTGGGGGGAGGACAAGGTGTGCACTGTTTGCTGGGGCAAACATATGGCATGCCAAGAGGAGTGAGTAGCACACAAACACACACACACACACATTCCGTTTGGGTGGCTGGGTCTAGCAATCTTTCAGCACGCTTGACTGACAACAGGTGAGGTTCTGTGAATGAAGTGAATCCCCTGTCCCCTCTGTCCGGAAAGGCCATACACGTTCGTCACGTGTGGCCAGTCTCATGGCGTGTCCCGGTGAAAGGACGAACGGACTCATTCGCCCTGGTCTTTTGTACATCGGGGTCTGGGTGCCGTTTCCTCGCCCAATTGCCTGTGTGTTCACACAAGGCAGCCTTGCCACCCACGCTGCACAGGACGTTCCTTCTCGACAGAGACATTGCATGGGGCCAGCAAGCCTAACTTTTAGTAGGGGATCATGTTTGGGTGGTTTCCACAATTGCCAGATAGGAAGAAACTAGAAGCCAACCATCTTGTCCCCTAGTTTTGTTCACACCTATCACATTTCAAGCTCAAGGCTAGGGGCAGATAGGACCCCAGGTCCGGGAGTTGTCGTGCCCGGAGCTATGAGGCGCCCCGCTATCCAGAGGTTTACTTGTTGCTGACCTCCCGGTACAAGTGTTGTTCCATAGGCTGTGGCCCATGGCTGAAGTGGGTGAGCGCCTTTTTTGCGAGTCCTCCCTTGGAGGTGGGTTTTAAATGGACACCAAAAAGACAACTCTTTATTTTGTCCTAGCTCTCAGGGCACCCTTTGATCCTATTTGGGCCTCCCCCCACAGGTTTTTCCCTCATTTTTTTGGAGGGCTGGGGGGCTGTTGGGCCGTGAGGCTGTTGGGCTGTTGGTGGTTTGTTGGGCTCTTGCTTTTGCTGGGCTTTTGGGCTGTTCTGTTGGGCTGTTGTACTGGCTGTTTGGGTTGTTGGGCTGTTGCTGGTGGGGGGCTCCTGTTTGAAGACACGGCCAAGCGGATTGCCCGTTTTCAGTCCAGGTGGTGGACTTTGCTGCGGCGCCAGCTGGAGGTGTCGCCTATGACGGCGGACACCTGCGCCGATGTCCACGGCTGCGCCGCTCGGAGCGAGCGAGAAGGGAGCGTAGGATAAACACGTGTTTACTTAGAGCACGCCCTCGGTGTAGAACATATGTTCCCAAAAAAGGGAGCCTTTAAAATGGGAATGTCCACTTGGTCACCCCTTAGAACTGCTCAAAAGGTGGGTTCTCAACTTAACCCCTCAAGTTCATTGTGGGCCACTTACAAAAGGGCCCAACTCTCGTGAATGGCCCGTGCGTTTGCTGGTCGGGATTTTGGGTCCACTGGCCAGGCGATGTTTGGTGCTTGGGTATTTGTGAGTTTGTGTGTTTTCGTGCGTTTTCGTGTGTGTTCGCTCTTGCGCAATTGCGTTCCTTTGTGTGGGCGCCCCCCCAATTGCCAAACAGGGGTTCTCATGAGGCCTCCAGCTTTCATCAGCCGAGGTGGCAGTGACCGAGGATTCCGACTGCATTTGCACCACTCCTCCTCCGCCTCCGCCCTCGCTGGCGGCGGTAGTGGTCTAGTGCCAAGGCTCCGACTAAGATTGTTTCAAGAAAGCATTTCAAAGCAATCTTGTGTGCCTGTTCCCGTCATAGCCCAAGTTTTGATAAGCACGTTCACGGCAAACCCGTTTTGATTGAGGCCAGTCGAACCTTGTTGCGACTAAGCCTGCCATGCCCAAAAATGTCAATTCAACCCAAAAAAGGCTACCAGGATGATTGTGTCGGTCCCTTGGACATGGCCCAGGGGCGGGGGTGAGTGGGTGGGTGGGTGAGTTGAAGCAACCGTTGCCTTGGGCGATGTTGGCGTGAGCTGCAATCGGCGGTTCCCCGCGCATGGGGCTTTATTTCGCCGTTTGTTGTCAAAAGACTCTGGGGAAACCAGAGTGGACTGGTGGGAAGGTCATTACTCCAGGAAGCTTCCGACATGCCCCTTTGCAATTCAGGAGGCTGGTCATGCCCTTGACCAGACCACGAATAGTTAACGTGGTCAGCCAGAACCCTCCATGAAACACAGCCTTGATCTGGCCACATGCACAGAAACTGCCGGTTTGATGCCATGTTTGAAGTGTCAGCTGAGCACACAGAACGCAAAACAAAGAAAACACCAAACGCAATCCCACCCTGGAACCAACGCTCAGATTCAAACCCTTCCAACCGCCAGGCGCAGCCACGACCGCCACACCCAGACAGCCGCATGTGCTTGGCATGGCGCGCTTCTGGGCTTCGGCGTTCCGCTACGTCCAGCTGAGTGACCAAAAGCCGCTTTTGGCCATAGGTGGTTCTTCTACAAATCCCCTGCATGTTAGCAGAACCCTTTGGCCGTCAATGGGGTGAAACGGGCTCGGCCGGTTCGGCACAACGCCTTGGCAAAAAGGACAGTTTGCGATGGCACAGGTATCGACCTAGGCAAAAATCTGCTTTTTACTCTTTCACCAGGTGAAAGAGTCAAGACGCTTTTCAACTTTTCAACTTTTCAATTTTCGACCCTCTTTTGGATTTTGCCTTTTCGACTTTCGACTTTTCAGGTCTCGACCGACTATGTTTTTGAAATTTCGACCTTGGCATTTCGACTCAAATTTTGACCTGCCTTAGTTTCGATCGACTTTTCCTTGTTTCACTTTCAACTTTTCCGGAATTCAACCCTGCCTTTTCGACTTGTCTGATCTTGACTTTTTGACTTTTTTTACTAATCCGACCTACTTTTGCACTTTCGCTGACTGTTTTCTTCCACGTGCTAAGACGTGCTGACAAAATCAAAGCAAAATAAGGAGCTTTTCCCTGTCAAAGTGTGTACCACACCCAGTCTACAAAGTGACTCCGGCCTTTTGAGGGGTGGCGGATCGAAGCCCATTGTCCCGGCCTCAGAACTTTACCACTGCGTCCACCGAGGCAAATTATAGAGACCACCCAAAGTGCAGAATTGATCATTGAAAAAAACACTCAAAGGGCGCTCATAACTGAATGATATCCAAGGGCTCAGGTGGTAAGTAGGATTAGACGAATTAGGTTTAAAGTCGAAAAGTCGGAGTGTCCCTCGCCGACCTTCTTAAGCTGGCAGACAGGCAGCCCTATCGCAGGAAGACAGCCTTTGCAGACAGCAATGGCTGGAAACATCAGCAGTGAGTGCTAGAGAACGTCTTCACTTTCAAGCTGTGGTTTGACTTTGTGTCTCACTTTGCACTTGTTGTTTGGCTTTGGGCGCCTTTGATTTGACAGGTTCGTGACTTTTCCGCTAAGCCCATATGTTCGTGTCAGTGCTGGCAATTCCGCTAGAGATGCCAATCAGATTCCTCTTTATACCTCAAAAAGATAAACTCTGAAGTCAGACTTCTCTGAACAACTCAGAACATTATTCACCTTTATCACCTGTTTTGCTCAGAGAAAAAGCAGAACTTGCGGATTCACATCATCGAGATTTCTGAATCTGCAGCACTTGCTTCACTAAAAAGACTTCATCTTTCACATTTACTGAAGCATCAGAAAACTAGGAATGACGAGAACTATGTTCAAGGTCTCCAGCTGGGTGCTTAAGTTTCGGGAAGTTCAATCTCCCTTAAGTAAATAATACACATTTAGGGCAGTCAAAGAATCACTGGTGTCAGCTGATTTCGGGGATCCACACCCTTGTGCACTAGGTTTGTGGATGCATCCTTCAAGGAACCCGGCTAAACATCCAGTTTTCAGCTGTGTCCACTTTTGATGGAGGTTCCGCAGCCTTGAGCCCACAGGCCCGAGCAAGTACATCAGCCATCCTTGCATGCGTTTTTGTCTTGGGGGAAAGGGATGCGTTTTGTTTGAGGGAGGTCGCCCGCACGAAGTCATGCTGTTGGTGGCAGAAAGCCGCGATGTCCCAATCTGGAGTTTTGCAACCGATGAGCTAGAGGGTTCTTCAGGGTTGCTCTGAGCCTCTTAAAGCTAACCAAACACGGGTGGAGATGTGATATGGTTCCCTCTGTTCCGCTTTGCCAATACCCGAGTTTCTACCCTTGTGCCTTGACCTTTCCTTGGGTGGTTTCCAGGAGTTTGGCTTCGCAGCTCTCTCGCCGCCTTGCACCTTCGGCCCAAGTCTCAGGGCCGTGGGTCCCCACGGCGAAGCGGGGGGAGCGAGCGGAGCGAGCGGAGCCGCGAGCCATGCGGCTGCTTCTGGTGCTGCTGGTGGGCTGGGCGGCGGACACCCGGCTTGAGAAGCACGGGCGGGGGGGGGGGGGGGTAGGAGGGCTCATCAGCATCCTTCACTGGCACCCTATCAATCCCAGGTTTGGTCGGACTAAAAGTGGCCCGCGACTGCCTACAGAGGGCCAGCGTGGTCGCATGGGAGTGGGGCGCGTTGCCTGGAATGTGCATTTGGCACATGGTTGCTGACATGTTGTTCTTGTTTGTGTTTTTCGAGTTGCTTTGGAATGTTGATGTGCTGCGTTCCGTTTTGCAAACTTTGGAGGTCCTCGAGTTTCCTTTACAAATTCCCATCTGGAACTGTCCCCTACTATTGGCAATTCTTGTGTTTTTTTGCCAAGACTGAACCTGGGATTTAGTGTGTGTTTTGGATTTGCATGAGGGACATGGTTGGGCTACATGGCCAATCTGATCCTCACTGTTGAAACAATCAACATTCCTTTGGCTAAACTCCGGGCAAGTGTCTGAAGATAGTTGTTTGATTTTCATGCATGTTGTGTGAAGTTTATATGCGTTGCCGAATTGTCTATGCATGTTCTATGCACGTGTTCATGCATTTTGAAAAAGCGCATGGAAAGCGCGTAGAAACCCAGGGAAAGTGCATAAGAAATACGTAGATAAGTCATAAGAATCAACAACGCATAAGAAGTGCATGCACAAGTACATAGGACATACATAGAACATGCATAGAAAACGCGTAGAACACGCATAGACAATTCATAGAACATTCATTGACCAACCATAGAAAACTCAGGACATTCATGGAAACATACAAAACACAGGACATTCACATAGGTTCTAGGATATATTGAGGGCTGCTACATGCCAGACATGCATGCACCATGTGCTCTACAAATTTGCTGCCAACGGCACGGGTGCATTTGCGAACTAAGAGGAGGGCCATCAGCCCTGACCATCACTGGCAGCAAATGTACAACAACCAAGGACCGCAAGATTCAATTTCAACAGGTGGGAGTCTGAGATTAAGCCTTGGCAATTCTAAAATTTAAAATTGCCAGTGCGAAGTTAAGTACTGGAAACCGAAGATTCAGTCTCGGCAATACTAAATTTAGGGTTGGCAGCGCTAAACTAAGTTCTGTAAATCTAGGAGTAAGTCTTTACAAAATCAAATTTAATAGTAGGGGACAGTCCCATTCTGGGAAATTCGCATGAAAATTCGAGGAATTTCGAGGACATCTAAAAAATCACAAAAGAACGCAGTAAATGCAAGATTTAACAAACAAAAATGGAAAAACAACAACAAAATGCCAGCAACCAATTCCCAAATCGATCTCGTTTGAAACTACAAGGTGCAAGCTCAAAAAGACATGAGCGCTCAAAAACATGAGAAACAAAAACAAACATGATGAGATTTCGAGTTTTCCTGTTTTCTCCTTGGGTGGTCAGGTTTTTGCGAATTTTCGGGCTGCCGTTTTTCCGGATTTGTCGCGCCAGTTGTGCTTTCTAGATGTTTTTCATTTTTGTGTTTTTTGTTGAATGCTCACGCGTCGCGTTTGTCGTTCAAATGTTCATGTGTTTTTGCTGAATTTTGAATTTTGAATGTTCGTTTGTGTTCTTTGAGCTTTCGCACGTTTCGCACTTTTCGATGTGTTAAATTCACAATTTTTGCCGTGTTGTCATTGGATGAGCCTTGGCATTTGCAAATTTCATCCCCAACCCCACCCAATTACACGTTACTATGCTTAAGTAAGTACTATAACAGTCTATTTGTTTGTAGCATACTTCCTACCAAAATTCGCGGAGGGCCTGGACTTTTCGATGTTTGATGATTTTGTTATTTCCCGAAAGCATTGCGAAGGGTTCTTCCGGTAAAATCGCCAGCCTTATCACACAGCTAAACTTGCACGAGCCAACTTGCACGAGCCAACTTGCACGAGCCAACTTGCCCGAGCCAACTTACACGAGCCAACTTACACGAGCCAACTTGCCCGAGCCAACTTGCACAGCCAACTTACACGAGCCAACTTGCACGAGCCAACTTGCTCGAGCCAACTTGCACAGCCAACTTACACGAGCCAACTTGCACGAGCCAACTTGCATGAGTCAACTTGCACGAGCCAACTTACACGAGCCAAACAACTTGCACGAGATATCACACAGCCAAACTTGCACGAGACATTTGGACACGAAAGTAATTAGTTAGTCTCTTAAGGCGGCGCGGTGGGACCGAACCCACCCTGCGAAAATGACACCCTCTGCGGGGATTGGCGTGGTCGATGTCCAAAAACTGAGGACTTTTTACGGTTTCTGTTTTGCCCGCGCGGCCCTCTGCGTGGATTGGCGTGGTCGATGTGCAAAAACTGAGGACTGCTTACGATTTCTGAGGTGCGCGTGCGACCCTCTGCGGGGATTGGCGTGGTCGATGCGCAAAAACAGGATTTTTTGTTTGATTTCTGACTTGCCCGCGCGAACCTGTGCGAGGATTGGCGTGGTCGACGTGCAAAAGCTGAGGACTTTTTACGGTTTCTGACTTGCCCGCGTTACCCTCTGCGTGGATTGGCGTGGTCGATGTGCAAAAACTGAGGACTTTTTCTATACATAAAGATGTCTCTATGAGCCCCCGAGTTTGATGGTTGAGCCCGAAGATCAGCTGCCCTTCTGCAACACCCCCAATCCCACACCACCAGAGGCTCACTAAGCCCACCTACCCTCCCTCCTCATGTCTCCTTGGGGCAATTGTTGAAGAGTTTAAAAACGAGGCTGCTGACTACAATGTGGTGAACTTGGACAACCACACCTTGAAGCTGTTGGTCGGCAAAGACTTGCCCGCTTTCGTGCGCTTTGATCGAGATTATCCCTACGGCGAGAAGGCGGGTGAATGGGCGAATGGCCACGAGTGCGCCCAGCATCCCTGAGGCGGATGCCTTTAAGGCGCTGGCACAAACTGCCGTGGGCGCCAAGGCGTGGACGGGGGACGGAAGCTGGGCGTGGGAGAGATGCCCCGCAGGTTTGGACGTCTCCCAGTCACAAACACGTTGGCTGAAATGATGGGGCTGAAATGCCCAAGCCAAGTTTCAGCGATTGCAGCCTGCGAAGTGGCCCCCAGAAAGCAAGCCAGTCAATCTCATTGGTCCCGATGCCCTTCGGCTGAACGTCTCTTGCCCGAATGAGGGTGCACTTCCATTTGCTTAAGAATATTTTGCATTTTCCGCTGTTGGCTTTAAAGGAAATACCGGTTATTTTTCCCAGGGAATTAAGCAAATCGACATGATGGACATGTTTGAACATTGATTTGTTCAACGAATCGAATGAGGTGTCAACGGGCGCCATTCTGCTGGCATTTCTTGAGTTTCAGGCCCAAACTGTGCACTGGGCTGTGAGGAAAGCGTGTCAAAGCAGGGTTCCCCCTTCCCCCCCAAAATGAGTGGTTGCTTTTTAGGTTCCCTGAAATACCACCCAAAAGGGGGTCCACAAGAAGCACACACACACAGACGAGCACTCCTATGTACTGTCGGGGGTTGGGCATGTTTGCGAGGCTCACATAATAGACGCAGCCGCAGTGTGGGAGCATCGCTGGTCATTGAGACATGCACTGCCATTCAGGCTTGTGCCAGAATTGCTTGAGCAAACAGTCCCTGCTCCAAGGGAAAGTCAAAAGGGGGGTGGTTTATGCCAAAAGCAGGTTGACAGCAAGCCAGTGAGTTTTGGGCAGCCTTTGCAGATTCTCATCGGGAGCGTCGGCATCTCCACCTACGGAGAGAAGATGAACCAGGACAATGCTTCGGTCATCCTAGCAGTCCAAAAGCGGAAGCTCTTCCTTCCTTCCTTCCTTCCTTTCTTCCTTCCTTCCATAGTCATGTCTTTCTTCCTTTTGTCATTTCTTTCCCTGATTCTGCAGTTTGTTTTCAGAGCCAAGGAGCCCATAGCTAAAACTCTTGCGCTTTCGTTTGCCCAGCGGGTGAAGTTGATCAGGAGTCGAATCTGTAGGGCTTGGTCTATCCGCCGATTTTGGTGAAAATAACGAATCCGTTTGAGCTTGACAGGCTGTGCCAGACCTCCTTACAGTCCTTAGAGTGGGGAATGACGAATGACTCCCTCATTGAAACGGCCTTGTGGTATCACAACAGTGCGGACTCAATTCCCACCCTTTGCTGGTGGCGTGTCTTTTTGATTTGCTTTTTAGCTCCACTCATTTCTATGGAATTTGCCTTTGCGCCTTGTTCTGTTGCTGGGTTCGGATTCACGGGGTATGATTGCAGATATGGCACCACGGCGAGCGACAGCCGTACTGCGCATGGCAAGAAGAACCCACGCTGATCGGCACTGGGGATGGATGACGCCCTATGAAAACCGATTGCCAAACCACCTGCTGGTGTGACGTGGATTTTGTGCACACAGCAGGACCTGGCGGAGGAATTTGGGTACAAGACTGTGGGCCAGGAGTTGGAGTATGGCGCCCCGGGTTTGCAAGGGGTCCGAAGACACGGTTCCAAGGCAGAGGACGCCATAAATCAAGGATATGATGGGCTAAGTGCAAGGGGGGGGGGCTCTAAACGCTAAAGGGGAGCTCTCAGTAAAAGGGGGCGGGGACGTATAAGGGGGGGGGGGAAAAAATCATGATGCATGGGGGAGTTGGAGGATGTTCGTTTTTGTTCCCTTTTCAAACCGTGCTAAAAGGAAAAAGGGCCCTCAACGTCAGGGCTCCCGCCAGAGTTTGGCAACCTTTTTGTTTGAACATCGCGCTTGCCAAGTGGAACAAGTGATTCTGCCGTGTATCGCCGCCAGGAGTTTTAGCTCACAAAAGGTTCACTTTGAAAATTGAGCTGCAAACGACTGTCCAATGCGCAAGAGGAGCGCAAAGCAACGGCAGACAAGCGGTGAGACAGTTTGTTTTTCAAGGGAAATCCCAGGCACGCGAATAAATGTCCGTATGACGCCCGCACCTAGTCCTAGTTTTGGTACATGGAAGGGGGGCGGATGGGTTGCCCCATGACTTTGGAAATGGAAGCCTACGCGCATTGCATTCGCTCGATCGCTCGCTCGCTGCTTCGTTTGCTGGTGTTTCTTTGGTTGTACTTTTGCAAAGCTCAAGTCCCGGAGACCCAAGGCGACATGGACAAGACTTTCCCCAAGTTCCGGCTCTTCCCCGCGAATGGGGGCGCATCGGTGGAGTACACCGGGGACGTGACGGCGGAGGCCATGACCTTGTTCCTCAAGAAGGACCTGAGATGCGCTCAATGGGCTGCTCGTGTCAGGGGTTCATCTAGGGGTTCATGCATGGGTTTGCACATTCAGCCCCATGTGTCCAGGTGCTTGCCATCTTGTCTCGCAGGTGGAGTCGGAACACTGAGATTCGGTTAAAGCTTCCAGCAGTCTGTGATCCGTTTGGGAAGGGTAGTCTGCTCTTAAATTGGGAAGGAGACAAACCAAATTTCATGCAAACAAGCCAGCGGCATTCTTGTGTTCCTCAATTAGGACCTCACTTTTTGTCTGGGTTGCTGTTCGGGCTGGTGACGGGTCACGACTTCATTTTGTTTCTATGGTGCACCCAAACTGCAATTCTTATTGTAGACCCCTTATTATTGAGCCCGCGTTTCGTCAAATCAAGAAGGACCTGGTGATCTCAAGCGCATATCCGCAAGTTCGTTCACGAGCTTATTGCTTTTGGGGGGGGTCAAATGAGCTCGGGCTTCGTGAAGGTTCTTCGCCTGGGATTCCAGGTGAATCAACTTGCTTTGTGCTTTCTCGCGTTGAGTTTGTCCTTGCGAGGGCATGAAACAGCCTTGGCTCGGGCATGTGTATCGGCAGCACGCAACGTGTGATTGACTACATCGCGGGGACCTTTTCCCTGAGTGGATCCAAGAGCCAGATCCATTTGCGTACACGCGACACGCACAGTGAGTTGGTAGCGGAGCAATGGTGCACTCTCGTGAGTCTGAGGTCAGACTTGATTTGAAGGATCCCTGTAAAGCAGGTGGTTGTTGGATGCATCCTCTATAGAACCCTGTCCTTGTTGCTTCTTTTTTCCATGGAAACCGTGAGGAGGCCAAGGTCTATTTTGGGCTCAAGGGCACGTTGCGGGACTTTGACAAGCCCGGGCCTGAGAGCGGGTCCTATCCGAAGCCCAACGGGGGAGAGAGTTCAAGATTGCAATTTTTTCAGACACACACACACACAACAAGTTCGCCATGATCATGGCTCGTACTCAAGGTCCACTGCTTCAGCTTGGTGAAATATTAATGCTAATTAGTGCTCCGGGGCCTGAAGAGGTTCAACCGTTGTCCTTTTAGGTCAGTTTGGTACGTAGATGGCGCGGGGTTCAAGTAGTTCAATATATTGTGCCACGGAGTGGTCCAACAAAATAATATGCGCGTCCCAAGCCCTTTATTGCAAAGATCCTTAGCTGGCTGTTGGGGCGGTTTCAGGCTTGTCCCCGGTGGCAGACGTTTTGTCTCATGCTTTTGGAAGGGGTTGGCTCCCTGCAAATTGCACCTTTGTGGTGTCCAAATGGGGACCTCTCAAGCTTGGAGTGAAAAGGGGAGCCAAGAGGAAAAAACACCTATTTTTAGGGGTCCCTACTCTCGGACATGTCACCGGTTGGTCACAAGAGCGGCAACCAAGGTGACTTTTGCTTGTCCCATCCAGCTTGATCCGTTTTGAGGTTCATCGTTCCAGACGCTGACGTGTTCATGACCGTAAGGGGGATGGCACAAGCTTTGCGCAAGTGTTGCCTGGACCTCTCAGGTGGGGCAGTTTTGTCCCCGCTTCCATTCGTTCAGTGTTCAAGGTTCTTATTTGACCTCCCCTGGTTTCAGCGCGACACCACAAGAAATGCAAAGGGTGAGGGTATGTACCGCGAACTCCTTGGGTGAATTGCCATTCATGGAGTTCGGAAAAGAACTCCTTCTGCGATATCAAGGTGGGATTCCCATGCCTGTGCCTACTGCTGTCACTTGAAAGCGGGGGGGCCTTGGTATGGCAGAACATGTTGCCAACATGTGATTTACCACAGTCATGTGAGAAGCAGCCCTGCGCTTCCAACTCGGCTGAGCATATTGAGCGCATGGGTGTTTCCAAAAAATAGGGCAAGTGCCTTTGAGGAACCTGATAGAATGGTTCCGGTGGGCATGGATCGCGGGGTTATTGGAGTGGTTCTTCAGGGAAGGCCCTCTCACGCAGTTGAAGGGAGTGTGATCTTGCCGACTTCTGTTGGGTTGTCAGTTTCTACGTTTGTTTGTTTGCTCGTTTGTTGTTTATTGGTTTGGTTTGGTTTGGTTTGTTTGGTTTGTTTGTTTGTTTGTCTGTCTGTCTGCCTGCCTGCCTGCCTGCCTGTCTGTCTGTGTCTGTCTGTCGGCCTGCCTTCCTGTCTGCCTGCCTGCCTGTATGTCTGTTTGCTTGCTGTTAGTTTGTCTGTTTGCCCGCTCTTGGCTGTTTGTCGATTCCTCTGTCTATGCAGTTTGTTTGTCTGTTGGTCTGTTTGCGTGTCTGTCTGCTCGCTCGCTTTTTGTCTTTGTTTCTTTTTCTATGTTTGCTTTGTTTCTTCTCCTCCCCTAAAAGAGAAGAAGTGGCTTCCGTTTTGAATTGTGGGTTTCCCTTAAAACCAATCCCAGAAAGGCAGCCAGTCTTAAAAAGGCTGCAGCAGAACACCGACGCATCTTGCATGTGCCTTGCTTCCCGCCTGAGGCTAGCGGCGGATTTTGTGAAGTCCAAGGACAAGGCTGCGGTGCTGAAGCTGCTTGGCGTGGGGTTCAGCGGTTGGCTCGGGGTGATTCGGTGTGAAAAGAGGGGGAAGTGGCCATGGGTCAAAATCCCGTACCCCCGGTGAACATCCCAATAAAATAGACTAAAATGGGTGGTGCACCTACCCCAAAATGGAATCCCATTGGTTTTGACCCACAGCCAAGTGACACTAAGCAGGGTGTCCAATTCGGCCTTGTTGAGTGGGGGGTGAAGCCGCCGAATGGGCTCAACACGTGGGACATACCACTGCACCCACCAAAAGGCTTTTTGAATCTGAAGAGGAACGCAATGAGTCTCCAGTGAGGTTCCGCGGGAGTGCAACTTGTTGGACCTTTTTGTCATGTTTTTCCATCAAGGTATGCGAATCTGTTTTGCGAAGGCAAGGCAAACTTGCCGGTGGTCTTTCACAGTGGACCGGACAAGACTCTTGGTTCAATTCCCTGGATCCTGCAGACTTGGAACCTCCAAAACCTCAAACAGCTTGAGGGCCCGGAGAATGGAAGGTGCTTTGTTGTTTTTGTCACCGCCCCAAAGCCGCGTTTTTCGAATGGTGGAAGAAAGCAAAGGAAAGGAAGCGAGGTCGGCCTCCAAGCAGAGAAGGACCACGGTCAAAGTGATTGGTCTTCCCCTCTGTATTTGTTGTTGGTGTTGGGGGGGGGTCGGGGGCGGGGGGAAAAGGGGGGGAACATGGGGGAAGAGCCTGGGTTTCCCTACAAAACCACGGGACGAGACGTAGATCTCGAGTTTCTCCGCAAAGCTGAACATGGAAGCCAGCATCACCGGCTTCTGGCTTTCTGGATTTTTGGTTGGTGGCTTCTTGGCTCCCAGGTTTCTGTAGAGTGGGGGGCGCCCCCCCCCCCGCTTCTGTATAGTGCCGTGGTTTGGCTTTGTGATAACCTCAAGGCAAAACTACCACGCTGAACGAACCTAAAGAAACCCCAGAGAGGCCCTCAAGAAACCTTAGACCAGCAAGATTCCCTAAAGAACACCCTAAACAAACCCAGCAAAAGACTCTCCCTACACCAACTCTAAACCCACCCTACACCAACCACCCCCTAACCCCCCAACAAACCAAACCAACACCGAACCATACCCCCCTAAGCCCACGTAAACACAACCACAGCCTAAACCAACTCCAAACCCACCCCAAGAAGCCCACCATAAACCAGCACTAAACCATCCCAGTACCTAAAGCCCAGCCACCCCCCAACTTGCCCAACACAAGCTGGAACCCACCCTGAACCAAGCCTAGGCCAACCTTGAACCCACCCCAAACCCAGCTTAACAAAGCCAACTCGTGATGTTGAGGATGTTGAAAAGGATGTTGCCGAGTTGAAACAATGCTAGGGATGTCGACAGCGCTGGTGCAAAGCGAGTCAAAACCACAGCAGGACCAGGAGAGATCGCACCTGCCAGTTCCAAGACAGAATATCCAGGAAACAATCCCAAGACAAAATGGGGAAAAATCCCAAACAAAATCCGGGCCCATTTTGGAGCTTTCAGGGATGCCAAGTCTGCGGCTGCGGCGCTGTCAGGCGACAGCTTTTGGCGGGCCGGGGGTTGGGTGCTTTCCGTTTGACCGTTTCTTTTGGCTTGGAGGTTTGTTAAACACGGGGCCCAGAAACGGGGGTTTGGGTTTTCTCTCAAAATAGGGGTCCAGAAAATGGGCTGCTTCCTCTCCCCTGCAGCCACCAGCTAAAAACGGCTTTTGAGAAACCTCCATTTGTTTTGTTTTTTGTTTTGTTTAATTATGCGTTGTCGGTTTCCGCGGTTTAAGCTTTCCCCCTGATTTTGAGGTGACGGTTCAAAAGCAGCTCAACATCGCGCCCTAGGAAACAGGCATGAACTCGTCCGGAACAACAAGGTTTCATTTGAAATAGCGCGGAATGTGGTGAGGGTCAGTGCGTGCCCAACCGGGGAGGCCAAGAGATTGTACTGTGTGTGCTCAGCCTGTTTCCATGACATCCGCACATGCACACACACACACACAAATCCCAATCTTTGAGTCTCCCTCTCTCGATATACAGATGTAACACATAGCTCGGTACGCACACAACTGTGAAGATGAAGCATGCCTGCAGGTCTGCGGGGTCATATGGTTCGTACCAAAAAGTATTGCTCACATGTGCATAGCAGCATATCTCTATGTACCGGCGCGTGGAGCCCTTAGACCACTCGGCCGCCCGAAGCCGCGCCGCTTCTGGGGGGTTGCAGGCGCGGAGCAGGAGGCGGCGGCCTACTACGTCCGCGCCATGGAGAAGTCCCAGGAGAGCGGCTGGTTCCAGCGGGGGGCCCAGAGCGAGGCGAAGGGGGGATTGGAGCTGGGGGGTCGGTATGTCAGGCGGGTACTTTTTTTTTAATGGGGGGGGGTTCTTCTGAAATCGTTTTTTGGGCATTTGTTTTGTTAAGGGGTATTTTTTGGTGTGTTGTTGCAATCGCTTTGTGTGTAAGCCCGTTTTCTACGGATTTAGGCTGACACAATTGCTCCATGTTCTGCCTGGTTGCCCCATCCCCCGCAGCGGGCGTTCCTCCGAAGCCAGGCAAATGGGGGACGATTCCCAAGATGCCGGATGAATGAATACACAGTATGAGTTCTGCAGTTTAAACAAAGGTTGGTTGGAGAATGAGATTTGGAGGTTTAGCGTCAGGTATGTCTTTTCTCCAGGTCTGAGAGCAAACGGAGCTCGAGAAGTGCCGGAAACCGTGAGGCCATACCAAAGCCCCCTGTCACCGGCTATCAAATGGTTTGGCGTATTAGGTGTCTCTTTTTTTTTGTGTGTGTGGGCTTGATTGACGCAAAAAATGATGCTGGTTGCCTTGACAGGTTGCATACCACGTGGCGCCCTTCTGGCACTCTGCCGGCAGATTACGAGAGAAACACGTGAGAACGAGCTCGGCCCCTTTGAAGGTTCTTTCCCGCGGCTTTCTGATTTCCAGTTTGTGCAGTGTAATGTGTGCGGATTACTTGGGGTATCACCACTCAACATTTTGAATGCAGGTGTGCTGCCTGCCTGGCAATTTGTTTTTAGGGGGTTAAGCTCTCCAAAACAAAAGGGATGTTGGCAACTTTTTGGAGTTGTGTTGTGGCTGGTATGCAAATAGCAACCCCCATCTTTGCACAAATGCCAGGGTAGATTCTACCAGGGGTGTCCGATTGCAGAGGCGAGTCGGACAGTCACATTCTCTGAGTTTGTGCTTCGTTCAATTCAATAAGAAGTTTCGTTTCGGAGGGTTTCAACTTTTCAGCCGGAACTGGTCATGACCGGCAATAGTTCAAGATTGTAGGAAACCCGGATGGACCAATTCAATCTAGGGGGTGCATACCATACATGGGCTGAGGCCTTCCGAGGTGTGGTGCTGGATATAGGTGGAGCCTCAGATTGCGCTTTAGAGTGTAAGGAGGGGTGCACTAGAAGTCTGAACTTTGAGCAAGGGATCACCACGCGTAATTAGCTGGTCAAAGTGCAGCATACTACACCCGGTGGTGGTTCATCAACCAGTTTCACGTTCAAGGCTCAATCCGCCCCACCCCCGTGTGGGATTATATGGGTGATTTGGTCCCCAAGGACCGAGTTCGAGCGCCTCAAGCAGATCATCTCCGGCGGCAAGGCCCCGCCGATCCGAGCGCGCGGAAGTTGATGGGATATGGTGTGTGTGTGTGTGTGTGCCAGGTGTGGGTAGATTTTGGGCTTGCGGTGTGTGTTTTTGGGGATCTGGAGTGGAATCTTTGTAGCCAGCCTCGCCCATTGAGCAACACACACACACACAGTTTATGAGCAAGCACCAACAAGCTCCATGTGTGAGGCGATGCTGTAGGGGAGCCACCAGTCCGTGCGGTGCCTGGTGACGTCTTATTGAAGGACGGAGCATCCGGTGTCTCATCGGTTGCTTGCGCCTGAAGTGCCAACCACGGCACTTGACCGACGGTTCTTTTCAGGTGGCGCCTGCCAAGAAAGTGGACATGCAGCTCAAGGCGCGCTTTCTGGGGTGCCCCGAGCTTCAGCCATCTCGGCTACAAGTGGAAGAGGGGCCGGATACACCTAGGCCCCTTTGTCTTTTTTTGTTTTGGGCCGGCTTATTTCAAGAAGTAAGCAAGCCAAAAGAGGATGTGCTTGGTTCCTCGTGGTTGGCCTCGCAACTGGGCAAGTCTTTTGCAGGTCTGGTGGATGCTGTGGGCCTATGCGCCCGCAGGGTTGATGCCATGTTCAACTGCACTTCGCACCAGGTGGTAGGTGATGCATCCCATTCCACAGAGTGACCCCTGCGTGGAGGTATCCCAGCCAGTGCCTTTCCAAGACTTTACCCGGGCCACCGACGCCCACCTGCAAAACCGAAATGACATGGGCCACCCAAATCAGTCAGTGCAGTCCGTTGCTCGACATGATGTTCACATGCGTGAATTTCCAACAGGCAGAATTTGATGGGTTGACTCCTTTCTCTTTCATCCTGCACGGGTAGGAGAAAATTGGGACAATTCGAAAAGCACATTTCCAGGCTTTCACCTGAGGTGGCTTTTGGACGCATCCGTTGTTTTTGCTGCTGGGCCGCTTTTGGTCGCAGGTCAATCGCTTGAGCTCCTTCGTGTCCCCCTCCGACGAGCTCTGAGCGAGCGATGGCCGGAGGGTAGCACACTTCCACGGCTAAAGGGCAAAGCATGTGCCACCGCACCCCCAAACAAGAGAAAATCCTGCGAGAAAATACGTGCCCTATCACCTCTAACAGACCCAAATAGAGGAAATTTGTCTTCCAGATGCCTTGAAGGGTGCCGACCTTCCAGGTTGTTCTCAAGAAGGGGGGATTCATCGCGGGGCCAGCACGCGAGCACTGCGCGAGCACTGCACTTGGTAGAGGTTAGGAAGTTGGGCCAAAGTGTCGCCCGGCGCACTGGTTGCCAGGAGGCATGGATGTGCGCTGAGCCACAGATTTAGTTTTGGCAGCTGTTGTCTATGGAGCCCGCAGAATGTTTTGCCGCCTGATCTGATCTTATTTTAGGTACCAGGCTAGATCAGATCTCTGACTTTTCCAGAGGAGTGTTCAGTTGGTATTCTCAGGAAGTGGCTCGGCTCATCAACGTCGACCTCGGCTTGATTAGCCTGGTGACTTGGTGGATCAAAACAGGTATTTCCCCCGCAAGCGAAGGACCCCCCTACAAAATCGCACAGCCCCAATGTCAATTAATCTGCGGTCCTGGGTTCCTATTTTATTGTGGTTTTTCAAGGGGATATGGCTGCCAGTTTTGCTAGCACTCCTTTGCCAGCAACCAGGGTCTGACTTTGATATCAGAAGCATGGCCCCTATGTGTGGGCTACTTGTTGAAGCGGTTCTGCACACAGTTGGCGTGCATTTCGGCCCTCATCAAGACCGGCGCCTCGGCGACAGTTAGACCGGCACCAAAGACCTTACGTCATCGCCTCATGGAAACGGCCGTGGGAGAGGGGAGGAGCAGGCTTGGGCAAGCTTGGTTTAATAACCAGGTCGGCCCTGGAGCCCTTTTTAGTGGGGAATCAGAAGGAGGCTGTGTAAACAATCCGTGACGAGGGAGGCCAGCACGGCACCCATAGGAACTGGCTGCTCGGGTTTTGTGAAGCTAATTGCTGGTTGCTCAACAGATGCCTGTCTTGAATGTTGGTTTTTTGCGCTGGGCCACTCAAGCAAACCACACGGCCGGCTGACCAGCATCTTGGTGTCTGACGTGAGGTGCCAAATGAGTGTTGCTTTCATTTGGTGTAGCGAGGTCCCAGTTGAGCAAATGTCAACTTTTCCATTGCGGAGCTTTGCAAGGTGTTGAGGTCGAGTTGCCACGCACCGGCAGTGACGTGGGACATGAACGCCTTTTGGCCGTGTCAGGGCCATACAGGAAATGCAAGTTTAGATTTGTGGCATTGGTATGCACGCCTTGCTGGGAACATTCCCTTGAAAACCCCTCGTGTCCAGAAAAAACCCGATCGGGCGGCTTTCCCCGCCTCCTGGGTGACCTCAGTCTTCATATCGAAAGTCCGAGCACGCCGCTCAGTCAGTGGCATCTGTCAATTCTCCCTGTTTGGCCAACTTTAACAAAGCAGCCCGATTCAATCCTGGCGCCAGGGTCATGATCTTGATCCGCCGGCTCAGACGCTAGCCCTTTTTGAACCTTCCGGCCCCGGCCCCGCCTTTGTTCCGTTGTGATGGAGGCCCGCGACGGGCGTGGGGGGAAGCCCGGCAAAGGCGGAGATGCTGAACATGGGGCGGGAAGGCGTGCCTGCCAGCGTGCCACATATGTATATTTGTTCTGACGTAGGTTTGCACCTGTAGGTTCATGAAACCACGTTTTACATGGCTTGAGCGCCCTTGCCCTTACGCAAGGGTCTAAACTGCTCACTAAGGACCGTGCATGCGTCGATCGCTAATGTAGATTTAGGGGATGGTCATGGATCTTTGAACTAGGGGGTTTAGCGAACCAACTTTGAGTTTTGACCACATCATCCCTTGAAGGACTGGACGGCTGGGTTCCTGTTCTGTCTCCCCTTTTGGAAAGACGAGCGCGCCTTCATGGACTCTTTTCCGTTTCCCTGCGGGTGTTTCAGAGGACGCTATCCCAGGCTTCCGAACATCTGCAGGGCTCAGTCGCCTCGTCGGCTCCCGTGGTTTTCCACCGAAATGGACATCCGGGCCTATGTCCTTCCCTCTTTTTTCGCAGCACATGCGTGGTACCAATGACCCCCCACAAGGGGTTCTTGGGGGATGGTTCCTGGGGCAAGTTGTCCCACGGCCACTCGTGTCTCGGGGCAAGTCGTCGCCGGATCCTCAGGCGAGTTCGAGTCTACGCGAGTGTTCCCTCGGGCCGGTGCCCGAGATGGGCGGGGGACATGTTTCCAGAAGTGGCGGGTGACCGGCCGGCCGTATTCGCAAGATGTTCAAAATTGAGACTCCGAGGACAGGTTGCCACCTGTTTGAAGGGCCGGCAGTTTTAATCCAAACGAAGCAAGGCGACGAGCTTCTGCTAAAGCGGGGCTTGTTCTGAGGCTTCTTGCGCTCGGAGTTTTAGCCTTTAACTTTTCGGGGAACATGCGTTTCCAACGAAAGAACAGTTTTTGGCACCGACCATAGCGGCAAAGGCCTCTAAACGATGATTCGCGCCGCTAGGCTTTTGGTGAACGGCTTTGGGTTTCCCTTCGCCATTGCATGGTCTACCCTCGGGCTGAGGCCTTTGACGCAATGACAGGCATCCCGAACCTTGCGGTTTGCCCAACTCGCTCGCGTTCTGTTGGGCCGAGCTGTGAAGACGATACGTGCGCAACATGTCCAAACTTGGCATGGGTAGCTGCACTTCACAGTTCCATGTCTGTGTCTAGGTGCTTTCTTCTGTTTGTCCAATCCATCTCCAGTCGGGGGTGCGACAATCCAAAGCCTAGGGCTTCCTCTTGGCTTTCTTTAATCTCCTCATTTGAAACCAAAAGGGGATGGATCAGTTTTACACAATGGATGGACTTAAAACCTGCACCAGTAAACCCTGCGAATACTGTGGTAAACCATCAGTGATGCTGGATTTTGTCCATGTGAACGTGTATCTTCTGGGGTCCCCATATTTTCAGGCTCATTTTTTCAGGTTCCCCGTATTTTCAGGCTCCATTTTTTCAGGTCCCACGGTATTTTCCAACCCCCCCCGCCCTTCTCCCCCCGAGGCCTGCCGAGTCTGCGCGTCCATCCACCGCGCCGCCGGGAAGCCCATGCCATGCTGATTTAAGCGGACGCGGGAATCCCAGTGGTTCCACCCCGGATGCTGGTGACCTGTGCCATCTACTATTTCTACACGCCCCCCTGACCCGATATTAATTCGCCATCTATTTTTTTTGCGTCTGTACGCGGTGTCCCCCTCCAGAAGTGATTTTTCAATCCCCACTAAAAGGGGGACACCCCCCTCCCATGAATCAACCAGAGGTGTATTGATTCGGGGTTAACATTAAAGCGAAAGAAGCGGGGAGAGAAGGGGTTGCCGATCGCTTGCACCAAGGACAGTCATGTGTGCTGCATCCATCTACCGATTTTGTGGCGAACTTACGATGAGATCGGAACATGCGGATCCCTTAGTTCAGTTTTTGAATTATTTTTGCAAATGTGCAGAATCATGCATGCACGTAGCATCCAATTCAGTTCACATGTTGGAACCCAGCCAACAGGTCACCCAAGAGAGGTTCTGGTGTTATGCCAAACCCACCAGTAGACTTTCCCAGCGATGGCAGGGGTCAAATTCTCGGAGATCTCAATTTATACATTTGGAAGGCTAGACAAATGGACAGTGGTAAATGGGTGCGAACAGCGGAAACAGTTGTGGCATCTAGAATGCCCAGATGAAAGTGACAGTGACAGATGCCAAGCTACGAACAGCTCGACACCTTTTCCTGCCCAAAAGAAATCTCCTTCTCCAGCACGAGCTGCCATCCACTTCCCAAAGTTTTACCTCTGGCCCTTGGCCGAGATATGCCCAGATCATGGGACCACCAAGATCCTCGTGGCACTCCTACGTGTTCGTTTCCTTTTCGGGGGTCTCGCTTGATATTTGTTTGCATCTTAAGGTTCGCTATGGGCCGCGATAGACCTTGTTTTAAGCTGCCTGGGGCCAAAGCTGATGCAGTCTTGGCGATCTTTCCCGCGAGTCCCAAGAAAGGGTCGCCAGGGAAGGCAAAGAGTTTCCTGAGAATACCGTCTCCTTTTTACCTTGCGCATGGACAAATCAAGCCCGACCTTTGCATTTAGACCTCGGTGGCCATCGCTAGACGCTGGGAATGTGGCCGGCCTTTCTGTGCCGATCTCTAGCGCATTGCCTGTTCTGGAGGGGTCCAATGCTGATCAAAGGGTTTTTGCAAACCGGTAGGAGGGTCCTACGGATGTCTCTCCTAAAGCGATCTTTGCTTTTGCTTCATTCCTGACATGAGTTTTGGGCTTCTTGAAAGAGTTGATTGATGACCTGATATCTATATAAGTTTAGCAGAACTGGGGCCTGAGTTCACGAAACACCTGGTATATTTCACCTAATGTAATTCAGAGATGGCAAAGGAAGCCATGGCAGCCCAGTGACTAGTGACTAAAGTTACTAATACTGATGACGGACGAAATCCTGCATCACCTAAGAAACCCTGGGATGATAATTCTCCCGCAAATGCCAATGGACAATGGTTTGTCATGGTTTCATAGTGCCGGATTTCGTAGGCTCCCATGGCTCACGAGCGTAGGCCCCGGCTGGCCGGAGATGCCGTGGGGCCTCCCGCTACCCCGCCGCCGCAGGGGACCCGGGAGAGATCCGCGTGAGCGTCGAGGGAGAAGCTTCGCACGCGAGACACAAGAAATCAGAAGTCCAATGAGCAAAGTGATGCAGGAAGACAAGCATAGTGATCTACCCGTGGGCAGATTTGAGCCGATTTTGAGCCCCCGTTTGGCTAGGGCGCTCCATAACTGTGTCGAAACCCTCAAATGGCGTCTCGCGCCTTTTGCCTTTTGCTTCTTTAAACGAACGATGGTTTGACTAGGACAAAGTGGCCCGGGGAAAGGGAACCCCAGACCAAACCAAGAAACTTTTGGGTGCTGGCCGGCCAATACTTTGCTATGCCTTTAAAGTTCACCAGGGATCGCCCCTATTTTCCGGCCGAGGACCTGGGGGCTGAACGGAGCCGATTTTGACTCCGGTCCGTGATGTTTCATGGGAAAAAGCGTTCGAATCGCATTTGGCCAGAGGTTCCCTTCCAACTTTCATGGTATTTCCTTCGTGGCGTGCTAGAAGCCATGGATCCGGCCCAGGGCTCATGCCGCCGCGCGGCCCCCGACGGCACCGCGCGGGCCCCGGGTTGCACATGCCGCGTATGGAGGGTCTAGCGAGCGGGTCTGAGATTCGGCTGCCTGGAATTAGGCACCACCACTACCACCACCATCACTACTACTACTACTACTACTACTACTACTACAAGTACTTCAGCTACTTCAGCTACTGCTACTGCTACCGCTACAACCTCCCTATCTACCCTCTTACCTAATTAGCTAGCTACCTGAGTACCTGACTACCTAACTACTTACTAAATAGAACTTGCTCTTTACTGCTTAGCACTTACTACCTACTACATAGTACTTACTGCTTGCTGCTTGCTATCTACTTACAACTTACCACTTGCTGCTTCCTACTTGCTGCACCCTACTTACTACTTATTACCTACTACTAATTACCTATTGTTAGTTACCCACTACAAGTTACCTACTACTGATTACCTACTACTTACTCCTTACTACTTTAAGATTTACAAATTGCTACTTATTACACAATACTTACTACTTGCTGCTTCCCGTTACTACGTGCTACGTACTACTTACTACGTCCTACGTACTACTTCCTACTTACTACTGAATACTTTCTACTTGCCACTTTCTGCTGGCTCCTTGCTACTCACTACGCACTACTTACTGACTAATACTTACTACTTACTACTTGTACTTACTACTTTTCTGCTACTTGCCACCTGCTAGATACTACTTACTGCTTTAAGGCTTATGCTACTTACTATGTACCACTTACTACTTACTACTTAGTACTTACTACTTGTTACGTACTACTTGCTACGTACTACCTGCTACTTCCTACTTACAACTGAAGACTTTCTACTTGCTACTTACTGCTTGCTGCCTGCTACTTGCTACATACTACTTCCTACCTTCTACTTACTACTTGCTGCTTAAGACTTACTACTTGCTATTTACTACATTTTCTACCCAGCAACTAAACCAACTAAGTAACTATCTTAAGTATCCAAGCAACTAGCTGACTGGCTGGCTGCCTGACTGACGCACTAAAATAGCTAACATAACGAACAAATAACCAGAACCAACAGAACTAACAGAACAAACTTCTACCTAACTAGCTAGCTAACCAACTAACCACCTAGCCAGCTAACCAACTAACCAATTAGCCAACTAACTACCTAACTAGCAGGCCGACCAACTAACTAACTAACTAACTAACTTATTAACCAGATAACTAACTAACTAACTAACTCATTAACCAGATAGCTAGCTAACAACACAAACAGACAAACAAACAGACAGACAGACAGACAGACAGACAGACAGACAGACAAACAGACAGCCAGACAAACAAACAAACAAACAAACAAACAGAACACACACGCAAGAAAGCAAGCAGGCAAGCAAGAAAAGAAAGAACAAGAGAGAAATGAAGAAAGACAAAACACAATAAAATAAAATGAAAGAAGGAAAGAAAAATAAAGAAAGAAAGAGAGAAAGAAAGAGCGAAAGAAAGAAACAAAGAAAGAAAGAAAGAAACAAAGAAAGAAAGAGCGAAAGAAAGAAAGAAAGACATAAAGAAAGAGCGACATAAATAAATAACAGAATAACGAAGGAAATAACCATCAATTTAAGGAAAGAAAGAAAGAGCGACATAAATATATAACAGAATAACGAAAGAAATAAACAACAATTTAAGGAAAGAAAGAAAGAGCGACATAAATAAATAGCAGAATAACGAAAGAACTAAACAACAATTTAAGGAAAGAAAGAAAGAGCAACATAAATCAACAAGTACATAAACGGAGATAAATAAATAAAGAACATAAATCACATAAAGAAAGAACACATAAATAAGTAACCACAAACATAAATGAATAAGAAAATAAATACAGACAGAAAGAAAGAACGGAATACCGAAAGAAAGAAACAGCGAAAGAAAGAAGGAACTAAATGAGGAAATAAAGAAAGACACATTAATAATACTAAGAAACAAAACAACAGGAACAACATAAGCAAAGAAATACACAAACAATAAATAAAGAAAGACACAAACAAAGACACAACAAAGACAAAACACAACAAAACACAACAAAACAAAACCAACAAACTGACTGACTGACTGGCTGGCTGGCTGGCTGGCTGGCTGGCTGTCTGCCTGACTGACTGACTAAGCGGCCAGCCAGCCAGCCAGCCGGCCGGCCGGCCGGCCAGCCAGCTGACAGGGAGGGATCCTTCACCTTATGTGGTTCAAATGCGGAAAGCCTTTTTGAGAGAGTGTGCTGAAAAAAGGTGCTGGGGGGCCATAGAATGGCGACAAACGCGAGGCCACAGAAAACCATGCCATGAAAGGGGGGGGGTTAAAGATGAGGTGTGCTTGGTGTGCCATCTCTGGAAGTAAGCTACCAGGTCGGTTACACAAGCGGGGGCCACTTCACCACTGAAGCTTTTTCATAGCCCTTATTCTGTGGTGACTCACTGATTTGCTAAGACAAACGCTGGAAGCCAACAGGAGCCAATTGTTTTCTATCCGATCTCCTGTTTGATTTCCAGTCATTGCAAATTCAGCCAGCTCACTGGTTCCGTCTGCGCTTAGTTGTTTTCGCGTCGGGCAGACTGTTTGACCGGGTGGCTTCAACAAGCTTGATGAGGTGGTTGGCCCACCCCTTGGCTCCATTTGGCTATGAATTTCACGGGGCACCTAAAAGTCCGAAGAAGCAAGCAGGGTTTCATCTTGGTGGGTGGGCAATTAAGGAGAAATCCCCCAAATTCACCTGCCTTCAAGTGCAAGGATATGGATGCCCGAACTCCGCTGAGAACGAGTTTTTTGCTCCTGTCAACACATCCCGCGCCTTTGGGCGGCCCTGCCCTCACGTGAGGTCGGTCGCTGGCCCGATGATCCCGAGCATCGAAAACGAAGGCGAAGCCCGGGCAAGGGATGGCGAAGGATAACGATGCTTCTTCTCGAAAAGGGCCAGGCTGTTAGAGGCGTGCGACGCCACCCGTTTTTTTCCCCTTCATTTTTTCTTCTTGGCTTTTTGCTGGACCTTCTCAACTGTTCTGGCAGCGAGGGACCGATTTCGCTCGCTTCCATTGCTGAAAAACTTGCTGGGCTTTCTAGATTTCCCCCAAGCGTGCCTTTAAACTTTAAACATGAAGGGGCATTTAGGGCAAATTTGTTTTCAACACTTGCCCAGGATATTGCCAGGGGTGATGCTTGGGGAAGTCTAGGGAATCCGTGCGTTGGACTGTTCCGGAAAGGCATCATATGAGGAGTCTGAAGGGCCGTCCTCTTCTTCTTCTTCTTCTTCTTCTTCATTTCTTAGCAATGGGCCTTCCTTAAATGAATGGAACCGTTTCACGTTGACGTGTGGCCAACGTTCGGCGGAAATTGCGAACAACCATGCAGAATGTAGCTGGCGGGATGTCAAACATAAGGCCTTTTGGAACCTTGGTGGCATTTGAGTCGGTGTGGGGGCCCGCAAACGGACGCCACTGCAATGAAGGGTATGCTCAGCGGTATGTTGAAGATTGGGTCGCAGTTGGTTGGAGCTGTCTTGGAAGGGGGAAGGGTATGTAACTTGGCCGGCATTTGCGGTACACAAATCCTTTTATTATTCTGTTTCTATATCATATTTGGTCTGCCCTAAAATAGAAAATAGTTTTGGACGAGACCCTGGGGAAGTCCCAAGCATTTTGTGAAAGTTGCTCACTGTCACCACTGAAATTCAACTTTGGCTTTTGGGATTTCACGTTTGGCTCTCTTGTTTTTTTTTGGGGTCACAGTAGCAAATGGTAACGAACGACCTATTTTTTGAATGTCCTTTGTTTGACCTTGTTTTGAAAGGGGGTTCGCTCCAAAATCAACGACCAACAACGGAGTGCTCTTTTTCCCTCATCGAAAAGCCATCGCCATGTCCAGGGCGTTTGACATATGACTCAGGCCTTCAGACCTGGTGCAGGGTGTATGCCCGATCTGCCCGGCGCCCAGGGGAAAAACGGGACAGTTTCACTGTCGACTTGTCTCTAGTTCTGAGCATTCTGAGGATGGCTGCAAGAACAGCATCTTTGCTGACAGGAGTTTGGAAGGTTGATTGTCAGAGATGACCAGTGCCACCTTGTTTTACTTGGTTGGCTCGTACTGAATAACCACAAGACCACAAGAAAAGGTGCCCATTGTTTTTCGGTGTCCGGGGTCTGAAGGACCTTCAGCTGGCTTACCATCCTTTCTCGCGCGAATGGTGAGACCCGACAAGTCTGGGACACCCGCAAATTAGTTGTCATTTGACTAAATCCTTCCGTGAGGACGGGATCCCACCCCTGGTTTCCTCCAAATACGGCTTGGGGCCTGATTGGTGATTAGTGCTTCTCTGGGGGGGGGGGGTGGGGGGGGCCCGCCGGCTGCCGAGGTCAACTTCAGCAACTTGCCACTCACGTGCCTCGGGGGTGGTGGCGGTGGGGAAGCGGCAGTGGGGGGGCTGTTGGGGTGGTCCCTAGACGTTTCCAGACTTACCTTTTTGGCGTTCATCTTTTTGCTTTTGTTGTTTTCCTCCATTGTCCCTTTCAGCCAGCAGCAGGTTTACTTTTTGCAGGGGGTCTTCGTTTGGCCCAGCGCAATTACAATTGTCTGTTTGCTTCGGGTCACTCATCTCTGCGGACCGATCACGGGTGCTTCTTCCTCAAATGCAGGATGGTATTCAGTTGAAATAGATTCTTTCTCGCACACATGATGCCAAAAGGAAAAACAATTTCTCAACACCCGGCATGTGGTGAGATGACTTGGCAAGCCACATGGCATTGGGCCAAGGATTCCGGAAATTTCCGGTACCTTTAGAGAACTTACCAGTTGAGTTGGTAGACTTGTGTAGCCTCTTGAGTGAGCCTGCCAGACAAGCTATACGGGTGAGTGAACTTGCCGAACAAGCTGGACGACGAGTTTCTTTACTTCTTGCAGACAGGCCCCCTTGTACAGATCAACATGACGTCAGTCTTTAAGAGGGGGTCCATTGATTTGACAAATGTCTATGAGGGCCTGTGAGGCTCGCTAGTCTCTGTCCACTGGCCCCTAGTAGTTTACCACTATGAAAGCCACTCCCTAAGTGGTAGGTTAAAGGGACAGATGCCGAGTGTCGGAAATTTCCCCTTCGAATCATGGAATTTGAGACATCCAAGTCCCTGCGTTTGCAAAAGCAACTTGTTTGCAGCCAAGAGCAAAAAAGGCTTTCACACAAAAACAGCAACACTAGCAGTCAGAATATCCCTTCAATCCCCATCAACGATGGTGAGGTTGCAGCAGGATGTAACCATGATGCCCAGGAAACCTCGGGATGGTTAAATTGAAAGATGGGTTTTCGCTCTTGCCGCGTTTCACTTCGTCGTTGTGTCTGGGGCACTTCAATGCGATGCTTCCATGCCAAAATGCTATTCCATCTGGAGTCGTCTGATAGGAAAGGGAATGAGAATGAGGAATCCAGATGGCTTATTGTTTCTTTTTCCTCAGCTCGTTTCCTCGCTCTCACATAGACTCCCAGAGACTGGTGATGAAGGGGTAACGAGCGGGGAAGGGAATCTTCTCCTGGAGGCCTCAAGGCGCGCTGATGGCGAAGCACATTTTACCCATGCCGCCCAAGCGGGTAGGCGCGCCCGAGTTTAAAGAAGCCAACGGTGCATTTTGGCGGAACCAAAAGACTCACCGGCATGTTTTTTTTGCGGCCATTTCTTTTGTGGGGGTGGGGGGAAGTGTGTTCTGCTTTGCACCAACCTTTTTTGGGGGGATCATGTTTTATCATCCTTTCGAGGGGGGGGGGGGGAGTGCACCTTCATTTCCCTGTAATCTTCTGTTTTAAACGGTGGAAAGGCATGTTTGTTTTTGGGTGGGGGGGGGAGGGTCCTCATCCCAAAGTTCAAATCGGGAAGGCGCTCACGGCTATATGAGTCCCAATGTGCGTGCTCAGCTGGAGCTGGTCCATCGACCGCTTCCCTTCTTGCGCCTTCTCTCTGTCTCTCGAATTTCTACACTCCAAGAAGGCATAGCCAGCCGTCCAAAGCAGCAGGAGCCAAACTTGGATGGTTTCCTCGTTCAACGTAACGTACATAACCCGCACGCGCGAAAGCGCCCAAGAAAGAGTGACCCAAATAGAACAGCTACGTTCCTTTGGCGGTCCTATTCAAAGCATCCGTGCTAGGCATCCCTTGAGTATTTCAAAATGTCTCAAACTTCTGGAGCCCCTTTCTTTGGCCACAGCGAAACCCAAAACGAAACCGTCGACATTTTTGGAACCATCTGAGTGGCAGACACGTCGACGGCGGCTTGTTGGGGCAGGCGACATCGCTCCAGCTCCGCCTGAGATCGAGAGCCTACAGGCACGGCTGGGCAGGAAAGGCGGCTGGCCGGCTCGCCTGACGTGGCTGCGGGTCGTTTTGCGGGGGATGGTGCAAACGGCGCTCCAAAGAGAAAATCATTCATGTTCTTGGTGTCTCCCGGGCATCCTTTCAGCTGTTTAGCTTTTTAGCTTTTTAGTGGGGGTTTTCATCTAACCCACGAACAGTTAAACTTTTAGCGGGGGATCTGAGGACAGCCCAGTTTTGAGGCTTCCTCTATTAAACACCCACAGACACTCATATTCCTTGTTGCTTTTTTTATTCTTCTTCTTTTTGTGTGCCTTGTCCGCACCTTTTGGGATGGTGATTGGGTTTGGATGTTTCGGGCAACTTAGGGAGCCCCATCAAATTGGAATAGGACCGATGGGGGTGTTGCTCTTACCTGGGGCAGCAATGTCGATTTGCACTTGTAGGATGTCCATTTGTTTTCAGCCAGGGGAAGTTGTGAGAACCGTGCTAGGCCATTGATTCCCCCTCGAGGGAGTCCACTTCCCTTTCAAAGCGACTTGGAGAGGAGTCAGTCCACTTATCAGTTGGGCCGGACTGTAAGCTTTCAAAGTTGTCACTGGCCCCAGATGACTTTGGCGATTGGAATCGTCGGCTCATGGGAGCGTGCGCCGCGACCCGTCAGGCAATTGTCTGCGCGGTGCGACTTTCACCTCAAAGGGTGGAGGCCGGATGCCGGGAGTTGGGCGCTGTGCTTAGAGGGAACCACAGGGGTCCCTGCCAAGTCTGAACCCGGGCCAAACAATCAGGTTCGGGGGGTTGACAAAGGCCGAGGCTTTGCCAACGCTCCTGACCAAAGGTGAGAAGGAGCTCACTTGCCCAAAAGGCTCGGAAAAGACCAGATGTTCCTTGGTCGAAAAGGGCACCCAGGGTCTAACTTTGAGACCTAGTCATTGGCCAACCGCTTCTCCATCGTTTAACCTACCCAGGATTCACGTTTGTTGATACCGGCATTTAAGTACAGGGCAACCGCCTGCTCGAAAAAAATCCTCCACCCAACACGGAGTCGTTTCAGTTTCAGCCCCGCAAGATGGATACCGCTGGGAGGTGGTTCTACCAGAAAGCAGCACCTAACCAACGAAAAGGGGCTCTTACAAAAAAAGACACGCCCAACATCCACATGATGAAGCCCTTTTGAATAGTGGCTGATAAGCCATCTACAGATAACTGGTGCTGGATTGAGATTCGCCGCACGCTTTTGCATTAAACCATCAACTGGCGCTCAAGGGATTCCCGAGGCAATGCGCAGATGAAAAGGCAGATCGCGTGGCCGGCACTGACACCAGCCCGCAGCATTTAATTTGACTTTGACTGTCAGGGCTGGGGTGATTGGTTCCGGAACCTTTTGCCAGGCGTTCTGATGTGGAGCCGTTTTGCTTAGAACGAGTTTCTGGTTGCCATGGAGGGGGGGAGGGTTCATTTAGGGTGCCACATCATTGGGGCATGTTGGGGAAGCACTTCGTTTTTGAACGAGTGTTGCGGATCGTCTGAGCGCGGGGAGTGAACCTAAACCAACCCTCCCACCATATCCGACCCTAAAGCCCGACCCTAAGCCAGCCCAAGCCAGCCAAAGAAAGAAACTTAAACCCGCCCTGAGTCCCAGTGCATGTGTTCAACAATGAGCCTCAATTCGATTTTGATCCCTTCCGCATGTTGGGGGGTTCGGGGTTTGACTTCCTCTCTGTCTAGGCTGGTTGAAAAACGATGCACAGCTTTCGGTCTGCCCCTTCTCGAGTTTACGGTGCCTCCCCGCTGGACCAGAGGCTGAATGGACATGGTGGCCACAATCCATGAGGGGGAGCGTGATGCATCTCTCCAGCTCAAAGCATATCTTCTTGGTTTCAACCTTCTGTCTTTTGGCAACCCAGCAGCCGATTCCAATGATGCACCTGAGTTCCTCAAGCACTCGGGTGATTTCTTTTTTTGGTGGTCCTGCACTTTAGCATCTAACCGAAAATATCCCTGTGCAGAGGGCTTGCTTTTTCCATGGCCCCACTTGCCTTCCTTCCCCGCCCCCGGCAAGCCGCTCGCAGGCTACAGACGGCACCGTGTCGGCTCCTACAGCGGAGCTGCTGGTTACTTTCACCGCCTCCACGACCGTGGTGGCGAGCGGAAGGCTTGCCCCCAGCGTGGAGGATCCCAAGTTTTTCTTTCAGGACTGGCGTGGGGGTGGGGGTTGTGTGGCTTGTGGGGCCTGTGGGGCTTGTGGGCTCCAAAACTTCATTTGGCATTTTGAGGTCTCTCTGATGGCTGCTGGAATTTGAAGCTGTCATCTTGCAAATTCGGCAGCTGAGGTAGTTGCATTTGTGCTGATTAGCTCAAGTGCCCAACTGGAAACCAGCTTGATCATCGCCATGGCGGATCCAGCTGCTGGCAAGAGCAGGCTAGACGTGGCCACCTTCTCCATGGGCTGATTTTGGGGCCCGCAGGCGACCTTTGCTGCGCTGCCTGGGGTCGCAAAGGTGGACGCCGGATACACCGGCGGTCGCAGCCAGACGCCCACGTACCGGACGGTCTGTGGGGGCGACGGGCACGCTGAATCCATCCGCGTGGAGTTCGACCCGGAGCGGATCTCCTATGACGCGCTGCTGCAGGTTTTCTGGAAGAACCACCGGCCGCGCCCCAGTTCCAGTGCCCAGTACCGGTCCGCCATCTGGTACCACACAGAAGAGCAACGAGAGGCTGCCGCGGAATCAATGGCGCAGAGAGCGGGGACGGCCACCAGATTGAGTGCAGCTGCCACGTGGCACATGGCAGAGTGGCATCATCAGAAGGGCCAGAGGAGCAGTGCAGAAGCAGGCGGCTGCGGGTTGCAGTAGGTTGTGAGGAGTCTGGTTTAAACATGTTTGTAGAGACCACCTGGCGCAGGCTGAGGAGAAGCCCCGACCGTGGGGATTCTCTGCGTCAGCAAGACGCACTCCGCCAGATCACAAAGGCGCTGTCCCCATGCACATTGCAGCGCTGCCCGCTCGTGGAACGCCCGGCAGCAGCGCAAATGCCTTGGATGCCAGGAAGCCCCGACAGCCGCCTGGGGCCGGCGCAGCCGAAGGCCGAGGGAGCCGAAGCCCCGCACGATGTCTCGTGCCAGTGATGGGGATGCCGCCTTACGATGCCCCGTTGCTGTGGCATCCCTTGAGGTTCACGGTTATCGAAGCTTGGCGACGGTGCGTGACGGCGATGCTCTGGTGAAAGGTGCGTCAGAGTGGGTCCCTTAAAGTCATGCAGTGTCCCATGTTTCCCACATATATCCAGAGAAAATCCCTCCAACTGGTAGATTCAAAGGGCAACAAACAATGCTGGGGGGCAAGTGGAATGCAGGCCTGGAAGTGCTTCGCCTCGGACTTCTGCCGGCTGACCTTGGGCTTTCTTCGAGTGTTTTGAGTGTTTCTTGGCAGGGCAGCCTTTTCCAGCCATTTGCCAACCCCCCTGACCCATCCCCCCCTTTTCCGCATAGAAAAGTGCTGACGGCCATTGCTAGAAGTCCTCAACCAAGCCCAAACCAACCCGAACCACCATAACCACCCACCCACCCTCCCCCACACGGGGGCTGATAGTTGGAGGAAGGCTGCATGTGTACATTATATATATATATATGTATATTGTATACATTATATACATATATTTATCTATGTATATATGTATATATCTATATTCATATAGATGAAGATTTGTACACATATGCGCAGAGTTGTGGTGCCTTCCGAGCTACAAGGACAAGAAGACGCCGAAGCTGCCCGTGCTGGCGTTGCCCACCGCTGCCGGGGCGTTTCTTGGCGCCAGTGGGTCCCAGGCCTCAAAGGGCTACATCGATTTTCCCCCTTGGTCTCTTGGGCGCAGGTATCGCTATTGGGGTATGGGTCAAAATTAAACCGCCAGGGGACCGCAGGTTTTAGTCCATGCTTCCATTTGCCAGGGTTCCATTTCCGGTACCTATTTTTGACCCACAGCCAGATCGCCATTTGGTTGTTGGGTCTTACATCGTCGCTGGCTAGATTTCAATTCCGCGGTGGGCCGACTAACTATTGCAAGCTTTGGTTGGGAGAGGGTTTCCCGTGAAGGTCATTTGCCAAACAAAGAGCGCCCCCTTTTTGCCCATGCCAACTGGAAGGCTGTTGTTGGTTGGGGCGTGGGGCGGACGTTTTTTGTTCTGTTCCAGGCCTGCCCGGCTTGAGGCTAAGGAACCTAAGTAACCGGCTGCATTGAATTGACGACATCTACACTGCATTGCCTAATAAACATATCTTGTCAAAGAGTCACACATACCTGCAAACACATATGCAAAAGATATATACACATAAGCAGGAGCTCACTCACGATGTATAAAAGCATAATATTCAATGTGTATATATATATATATACATATGTATGCACTGTTTAAAGAAGCCATCTCTCCACTTGACCCCCTCACCAGCGGTTGCTGCTTCGGTCTCCGAGGCTGGTGCCAGGGCAGGAGCCGAAGTGGCTCGAGGAGCGCTGGAGCCGGGGCACGCTCTGCGAGGCGCGAATCCCACTGGCGATGGGATGGGATGGGCTCTTTGGTGCATTTTGCTTGGATGTTAGGACCTTAGCTCTTTGCCAACTAATGAGTTTTCCATAAAAACCACCAAATGTTAAACTTTCTGCAGGGGAGCAGAAAGCAACCGAGGGCGATTATTTAACCAAAACCAGAAGGGTAGGAAGGAGCCCCAAAATGCGGTCCTGTTCGAAGAAGATTCGTCTAACAATCATGGCAGGCCTCTCCGGGTTCCATGTGGGTATGCCTAGAAGGACCTGCATGTAGAATGGATTGGCTTTTCTCTTGCTCTTGGTTTCCATTTGCACGCGACAAAAGACGGAACCGTGCTTGGCTTGGGCCTGTATGGCCCCGCAAGGCCACCCCTCTCGGCGGCAATCCTGGCCACCCTCCTGAAAAGACGTGGTTGCATTTTCAGGGCCCGTTTTCAAAATCACTTTTGGGAGCTTTGCTTTGGAGGGCAACTTGGAGTTTGTTCTCAACAAAAACAAAAAGACAAACAGACACAGACACAAACAAACAGACAAAGAGACAGACAGACACAGACAGATAGACAGCCAGACAGACAAACAAACACACACACACAAGCAGCCAACCAAACAATCAAACGAACAACAAAGACACACAGACACAACGACACCACCCTCACACACACAAAGACACACAAAGAGACACACAAAGACACACAAAGACACACAAAGACACACAAAGACACAAAGACACAAAGACACACAAAGACACACAAAGACACACACACACACACACACACATACAAGGACACGTGCGCACGCGCACGCACCCACATGCACACACGAGCACGCGCGCACCTGCACGTGCATAGTCATCCGCTTGCACGCGTGCACGCCCCCACACGCACACATGCACAAGCACACAGCGCACACGCACGCGCACACACCCCACAAGGACAAGCACACGCACACGCACACGCACACACACACACACACACACACACACAGACAGAGACACAGACACAGACACAGACACAGACACAGACACAGACACAGACACAGACACAGACACAGACACAGACACAGACACAGACACAGACACAGACACAGACACAGACACAGACACAGACACAGACACAGACACAGACACAGACACAGACACAGACACAGACACAGACACACACACACACACACACACACACACACACACACACACACACACACACACACACACACACACACACACACACACACACACACACACACACACACACACACACACACACACACACACACACACACACACACACACACACACACACACACACACACACACACACACACACACACACACACACACACACACACACACACACACACACACACACACACACACACACACACACACACACACACACACACACACACACACACACACACACACACACACACACACACACACACACACACACACACACACACACACACACACAAACACAACACACAAACACACACACAAACATAAACACGCAAACATAAACACGCAAACATAAACACGCAAACATAAACACGCAGACACGCAAACGCAGGAACAAACAAGCTCACAAGCACAGAATCACAGAAACACAGCGACAAAGAAGCACAGAAGCGCACAAGCACACAAACGCAGAAACACAGCAACGCTGAAACACAGCAACAGAGAAACACAGAAGCGCACAGTCACACCACACACACACACAAACACACAAGCACGCAAACACACAACCAGGCAATCACAAACAAACAAACAAACAAACAAACAAACAAACCAACCAACAAACAAACAAACAAACAAACAAACAAACAAACAAACAAACAAACAAACAATCACACACATACACAGACAAACACAGGCACACACACACACCCACGCGCACACCCACACCCACACCCACACCCACACGCGCACGCACGCGCACGCGCGCACACGCGCACAATTGCGCCACGCACGCACGCACGCACGCACGCACGCACGCACGCACGCACGCACAAACACACACGCAGGCACGCAGGCACGCAGATTCGCAGGTACGCAGGCACGCAGGCACGCAGGCACCCAGGCACGCACGCACGCACGCACGAACGCACGCACGCGCACGCACACGCACACGCACACACACACACACACACACCCACACCGACACCCACACACACACACACACTCACACATAGACACACACACACACGCGCACACACACACAGACACGCAGGTGCACAAGCACGCGAGCACGCACGCACGACGCACGCACGCACACTCGCGCACATACAGACGCGGACGCGCGCACGCGCACACGCACGCACGCGCGCACACACGCACACGCACACACACACACCCACACACGCACGCACGCAGGCGGGCCGGCAGGCAAGCAGGCAGGCACGCGCGCACACACGCGCACACACACACACGCGCACATGCACACCGCACACACACACACGCGCGCACATGCACACACATGCACGCTTATGCATACACACGGATACCCACGCACACACACACACACACACACACACACACACACACACGCATACACACACACACACACACACACACACACACACACACACACACACACACACGCACACTGACTCACGCACGCCCACGATCGCGAACACGTGGACGGACGCATTCGCACGCGCACAGGCGCAAGCATGCGTACGCACGCACGCGCACGCGCACGCACGCACAGGCACGCATCAGCACGCGCATGCACGCGCCTGCACGTGCACGCACGCGCACGCGGCGCGCGCGCACGCGCGCGCTCGCACACTCACGCACACTCGCGCCCACGAGCGCGCACGCGCGCACGCGCCCGCGCCCGCACACGCACACGCACACGCACACGCACACGCGCGAACACGCGGACACACCAGATACCACGTTCCATGCACCGCATACCACACGCCACACACACCACACACACACACACCACACGCTGCACACACCACACACCACACTTCACACGCCACACCACACGCACGCTCACACGCGCACGCACGTGCACACACGAGCGCACGCGCGCACACACACACACACACACTCGCTGTCTTGTTGCATTTACCCTTTCTCATATGACAGAGTGTGTTGTATGCAAATGGGCCTGAAATGAGATGCAGATGCCAAATCCTTTAGGCCGAGCATTTGGTAGTTTCTTACCAACTGGCTGCGAAACATTGGTCGGGCAACACCAAGGTGGAGACTTGGGGCTTGCAAAGAGGCAAAATAAGTCACTTCCACCACCTAATTACCAGAAAGGTTTGATCCAAACTTTCGATCAGAAACCCTTCTGAGAGAAAGGGTTGCTCCGAACATCTGAAGATGACCAAACGAAAATAGTATACTGTAACAGGTATAAGGTTGGTTTCCTTTGGTTTCCCATTGCCAGAGGCTACTCTGCCAGGATGGTTGGAGCAAACTTTGGCAAACCCGAATGTTCTAGCTTTTGGTTTCATTTTCTTGCTCATGCCATGTGAGTGGGAGGCGGTATGACCAGTGTTTTCAATGTTGGCTGACGCTAGGGTGTAGTATCAGGGTTGTCCTTGTAACGCTACTTTTACCATATTGGAGACCTACATGGATGGCCCCCGAACCCAAAACGGGTTAAAGGCTCGATCGGTACTGTTCCTGGGGTGTGGCTTTGTGCCTTAGGTTTATTTGGGGTCATGGGTCGTGGAAGTTCTTTGCAAGCGCCAGGATGCTTTCAAGCTTCGTGACTCGCACAAGGACTGGGAAGTCTGGAAAAGTTGGCCTCTGCTGATCCACGTTTTTCCTATGGGGCTGGGGATTCACTACTATGCCTAAAAGCGCCGAATGGGGCGTAAGAAGGTCCGACAAACTCTGTAGGGTTTCCGCTCTTGTGGCACCCTTGGCCAACATAGGGTCCACACTTGGACTTTTCTTTGCGCAGGGCAGATGCGATGTCCTGGGCGACTTTGGTCAACATGGCCGACCCGTTTGTCTGGCTTCCAAATCGGCACCGCAGTTGTTGCTTTCCTTTCGGTTTCCCTTGCGGAAGCCGCGCCCCGGCTGCTTGTCGTTCTTGACACCCATGCCACGGTTCACGGTCCGGGCAACAGCCCAATTTAAGATGAGGCGTGGGTGAGTGATCTTTCTTACACCCCTTAGCGTAACATCCCTTGGGGCTCTAAGACTCGCGCACAGCCCGGAGAGTTAGACACGAAGGCAACGTGAGCGCATCTGCAACTGGGGCGGGTGATGCAACGAGTGCCGTGAAGGCGGAAGAACCCGTACGCAGCCCTGGCTGGGTTGATTCGCCAACCTTGAGCTCAGAAGCCGAAGGCCGGCATGTGTGGGGCGAATCTGCATTTTACAAATAGGGGATTCCCTCCAGTTTCGAACCTCCACTGAACCCCTTGAAATCAACCAGGGGTTTGGCAAAATCCACTTTTTTGGGTGACACCCCCTGTTAATCAACCACACTTTATGAATCCGTTACCAGGGAAATGTGCTGTTTGAAGCGGCCAGGACAAGGACTACTACCCCATCTACGACTACGATTCCCCCAGCACTGCGAGCGTGGCTGCGACCCTAGCTTTCTGAGGGGTCTTTTTCTGAAGGGCACCCTATTTTTTGTTGCTTCCGCAAGGAGCATTTTGAAAGGTGCTGCCTATTTCGAGACACACATGCTTATATGTGCCTCTGGGAGTACCCTGATGACCCACGGTTTTGCAGATAGAATCAAACATACGCATGACGTAAATTGAATAGCCTAGTGCACATCTCAAGTTTGCCAGCGGCAAATGGTTCTGTTTTGAACATGAATTTGGGATCTTCGTTGCGTTCAAAGAAAGGCGGATATTAGTTTCATGGGGCAGAGCTTCACATCATTCTGTTTGGTTCGCTTTAGGCAAAATCCAACCAAGTGCCATTTCCCAGAAACCGCTTTGGATGCGTCAATTTGGTGGTTTCCTCCTGTCCCCGCGGCTGATCTCTTTCTAGAGTCGTGCTTGGGCGAAGCTGACCTTTTGACCTTTTGACCTTTTGGCTCTCCCAAAAGCTTGACCTTTCATTTCCCGGTTGCCTTTGGGCTGAGCCGTTTCTTGGCGGTTTGCGGTACCCTTGGACTTTGGGCTTAGAGTTTAGAGGGTAGCAGGAAATAGCCTCGACGAAGCCTAATCAGTTTAGAGGGACTTTGCAAGGATTAGGGATTTGTATAGAACCGCTGAGTTTTTGTATTCTTTCAATGCCACGCAGGACTACCCGGGGCGTTGCTTCCGGGTTACAACGCACTGAGGTCAGTTCCACCTTTATCGAGTGCGAGGCATGCGGTTCAATGGGGCTAAGCAGTTCGGTCCAATGAACCGAGCAGAAGTTGCCTTTCGGCCGCCCAGTTTTGACCCATTTTGAGTGAAAAGCGGGTCAACCCCCGCCCCCTCTACTGGGCTTTGCTAAAGGGTGCAAGATCCAGAGTGCGCCTTTGAACATCACATCATGGGTATGGCGTCATGGACTGCAATATTCATTAGTCGTGGATTGAATTGCAGCTGCCAGCATTCCAAAGGCTTACCTGTCTTTCAGTCCAACCGTAGACATGTTGCTTTTCTGGTTTCGTACTATTCGCTTTTGGCTGGGATTCGACGTCTGGCTCCCCAAAAAGAATGAAGACCTACCTTTGCTGCATTTTGCTTGGATGTTAGGACTTTAACTTTTTGCCAACTAGTCAAACCACTAAAAGTTAAACTTTTAGCAGGGAATATACTCGATAGAATATGTAACGGATGGAAAAGGCCGATGCGCACCTACTCTTCCCGCCACCCGTGCTATCAAATTGAGCAGAGTTTTGCTAGTAAGTGCTAATAAGGTTCTGTAAAACTGAAACAAACTATTCCTTCTTAAGTCCCTTAGCAGGATCTGATTGTTTGGAAGAATGCGGCGACTTCAATGTTGGCCCCAGGATGAAGGTTGCTTTTCATTGGGATCACATATTTTGACTTGGTGAAGGGTTCAAATTCTTCCAGATATGATGATGCCCGTTTGCTACCCTCAGGTTTGAAGCTGTAAAAGGCAATGCTATTGCCACTGTGGGTCCTGATCTTCTCTCAACCGACAGGAGTGATTATATCATTTTGTGATTAGCCATGGTTCATATCATCATCAGGAACGTCGCGTTAGTGACCGACCTGTGGTGTTTTGGCTCAAGTTTTGGATCCGGCGCGCCTCGGATGAGCGTCGCCGGGCCCTCACGTCGACCGCCTTCGTGTCGGAGGAGAAAGAGACTTCGGCCCGGGGTAGGTTGGTGGGGATCGCCCGTGCGGTTCATCGTCGATCTAGGTTGCGGGTATCCTTTTCTACTTTGGTTATTTTCCCTTTTGGTTGTTGTTCTCTGGTGTGTGGGAAACCCTGATCTTTGGGACCGGGGATTGGTTTGCTTTTGGGGAACCTTTCTTTTGTGGCTTGTTTACCCCAACTTACCCATTGCCTGGGCACAGGCTCGTGCCCGAATCACAGGTTATCAGCCGTAGGACTTTCCTACGCGCTTGAGACCATCAACTACAAGCTCTATGTCGACCCCACGATCTCGAAGGAGCGTCGTGGATGAGGAGGCCATCCTAGGTGGCCTCCGCTCAGGTGAGGACCTACCGGACTATGACTACGAGGATTTCGAAGCAGGTTCGACAGGTCAGGACCGCAGGGGTGAAGATCCCGGTAGGGATACACCCAGGAGCCGTGGCAGGTACGCCGACGATGGAGACGATCGTATTTTCCGCCAGGCCACTGATGACGAGCAGACACGAAGGGTTTACTCCGATAGGAGTGGCTCTGAATCAGGTCATAGGCGTGGACGTTTTGACTTCATCAGCATGGCGATGGACATGGCCCGCCCTCATTCGGATGACCCGGAGGCCATGCCGATTCGACCTCCGAGATCTCTTGTTCCAGGTGAGTCGCAGGTCTCGGATGAGTTTGAGAATAGGCCGCAGGGACCAGGGACTATGGTTCTGGCTCCGGGAGGTATCCCGGGCCGATCCACTGGTTCTCAAAATCCAGGTCAGTTTGATGAGCACGAGGAGCGGAAATTCACGGACTTCGGATACGATGATCTGTTGAAATCAACCGCAGGTTGGGGCAGTAGCTCAAAGCAGGGATCTGATGCCGGTAGGCCCAACCCTAATACTGCCAAATCTGAGTCTTATGATGGCGAAGGTTACAATTTTGCGGATGAGGAGGAGAGCCATTCGCGCCGAGATGCAGGCAGCCGTGAGACTGCAAGGACTAGTCCCGCCGCTGCCAAGTTTGAGGTCGATGATGATGACGAGTATGCCGCATTTGCGGATCGCCGTGATGAGGAGGAGGACCAACCACGACGAAATGCTAGGATCCGTGATGCTGCGAGGAGCCCAGGAGCCTCTCTCGTGGAGCCGCCAGGGACCTTCGCGTTGACAGGGATGCCCGAAGCGAGAGAGAGAGAGCCAGGGACAGTCGGGAAGTTCTTCGGGGATTGGAGGCCATTCATGACCGCGAGGGACCGGTAGGTCCCCCGGCGATTGGTGATTCCCCGAATGTTCCCCCCTTTCCCAACATCACATTTGGAGGTCCGTTGAGTCAGAGAGACGTGAACTCGAACCGGGTTACTGGTTCACCGAGGATCACTGAGCGGGCTGCCGATGTTGTTAGGACAGGTGCCAGAGATGGTCGGCTTGCCGATGCACTCGGGATCGAAGATCGTCCGTCGATCGCTAGCCCGTTAGGGCGAGATACCAGTGATCTTGAAACTCTGAGGTCTAGCAACGAGTTCACACCTCAATGGGGTTCGACTGCCAGGGAACGTAGTGTTTCTGCGAAGAGACCGTCACCTCTCGCCGCTGAGACCGATAGGTCAAAGGCGAGGAGGGCTAGCCCCTCACCAATGGATTCAACTCCGCAGGATGAGGAGATGCCCGATCCCGCTGATGTTCACATCCACTCCACCCCCGAGTCGCGTGCATCCAACATTGATCCTCGATCTGGCGATAGCCGGAGAAGGGGATCTACCCCGAGTAGACCATCCAGGATTGATGATTGTCCCGTGGATGACCCCAGAAGACATGCCGGGGCTAGTGGGGCTCCTGAGAGGATCGAGATATCGACTCCTCCCGCCATCAGATCCCAGTCTTCCGGCGAATCAGGTGACGCTAGGGCGAAGGAGGTGTTCGATTTGCACATCCAGGAGATGCTCGAGAGAGGTGAGGTTTCTGGCTCAGTCGCGAAGGCGTTCCACATCTTTGCTGACCAAATCAGGGTACTGAACGGTCAGGTGAGTTCCATGCGAAGGGAATGGAGCGACGAGAGTCAACGGACGAAGGACAAGGTCGATCGCCTGGCAGCTGAGGTTGCGACTCAATCTGATGCCGGGAGGATGCGAATGATAGTTCAACGGTTCGCAAGGGAAGTTATTCCCGATAGCAAGGCCATTGTGAGGCAAGCCATCGATGAGCAAGCCGAGGTCGTGGAGCAGAGGATTAACCTACTGTCCCACGAGGTCCATGAATCTGTCAGGGACAATGAGGCATCGACTGATCGGCTTCGCCTGATGATTCAGGAGAATAGTGAGGCTGCCCGCAGAAGCCATGCTGCTTCTGAGGACGAGACCCTTAAGGATTTGGACAAGCTTGAGAAACGGATGTTCTCGGTAGAGAAAGCCGTTGGGATGCGGACCCCGGCAGGTGTATGGAACCCGAACCCTGTCGCGCATCCGTCCGATAGGGCCAGCGGCAGTGTAGTCGATGCAAATTTCAGGGAGTTAAACCTGAAGATCGAGAAAGCTCTCCTTGATCACGAGACATTTGCCAAGTGGGCCTCTGAATCTATTGAGGGGGTCAAAGAGGAGCACACTCGTCTTGTTAATCGAGTGTCTAGACTGCAGAGTGGAAGGGGTTCTCAGGAGGTCGATAGACCATCAGGGCATGATTCCCCGCAGGACTGGCATGAGGCTGTTGACGAGATCAATCGGAAGATGCAGGATCTGGCTCGAGGAATTCAACGTCAACGTCGGGATCATGACGACATCATTTCTAGGTTTGAAACCGTGAAATCACATGTTGAACAGTATGAAGCGAGATCGGCAGTTGTGAATCGGGTCGTTGATGGCATCCAAGGACAGATCCGTAATCTTCCTGCCAGCAGTGACCAAGTGCAGCCTGCCGTTAGGCGAGAGCTCGGCACATTCCGGAGTACACTTGAAGGTGTTATGCGGAGAGTCAGCGCTATCGATGGTAACGTGCGTAACCTTAGCGCCGCGAACAACAGAATCATGTCCCAGCTCTTTGAGATGGAGGGTCAATTTGACGAGGCTGCTGGCATTATCAGGGTGTCCAGCAGATTAATGAAGCTCCTCCACAACCCAGAGAAAGACGGAATGTTGGTTACCATGCATTTGCGGGGCAAGGACATAGGATCAGGTCACCGACGCCTACACCAGGGGAAGGTGACGGCCGGGGTACTGGCCTGCCGGTGAGACCAGGCGGAGGCGTTGTTTTGCCTGATCATGTTTTGCCGAATGTGCCCGATAGGGTCGATCCTTCTCGCGCAGACAGGCATCCCATCTATCCCGTTAGGGAGAG